TATCAGTGACACAACAGGCAATATTTGGTAATCTCTCCAAAGAAATGGCAAATACTAGGGATGCACCGTTGCCGGTATTTTGGTACCGAATACGAGTACCGATCATTTTTTTTCTGTAGTCACCGATACCAATTACCGAGTACCGCAAGTCCCATTCCGGAAGCCAGGTGGCGTGTAATGACTCGCCACCTGGCTTCGTGATTAGCCGGGCAGCGTGTAAAGACTTGCCACCCGGCTTCCCGATTAACAAGAAAGTCTGTCCCCTCTCACCTCGGAATGTCCAGCCTGTTACCCCCGGGGCCTCTCCAGCCAGTAGCGGCCTTCCTCCGGTACCCAGCCGGAGCCATCTTGTTGGCCAATCATGGAAGCCATGCATGAAGCCGGCTTCCTGGCCAATCGGAATGCACGGCTTCCTGATTGGCCAGGTTCCCGACCAATCAGGAGGCCGGGCAGCGCGTCATTACACGCTGCCCGGCTTCCTGATTGGCCGGGAAGTCGGCTCCATGCTCTCTCATCACAAGAGATGAGAGAGCATGGAGCCGCATCCCGGCCAATCAGGAAGTCGGGCAGCGCGCCCTTAACGCTGCCCGACTTCCTGATAAAGGAAGTATAGAGCTAGGCATCGGAGCATTTGGACGAGTACTCGCTCAAATACTCTGCATCGGCACCGATATCGATACTAGTATCTGCATTCCTAGGAAATACCCTGCCCTTTATTCCACTGAAGTAGAAAGACAGGTCACCAGCACTCAAAATAATTTAGTCCTTTTTTAATGGACGATTATGTCACAATAATCAACAAAGCCAACGTTTCTGGGCCGCGCAGGGTCCCTTCTTCAAGGCAGAAAGATGTGACCTGCACCCTCACCAACTGAACTTTATTCCACTGAGACGTAAAAGTTTGTACTCCTCAATTTGGTCCCCCTAGACGTGGTCCACTGCATTTTCTCAATAGGGACACAGTAATAAAAACCTGACGGACTCTAAGGTTTCTCCCACTTTATCCAAAACTTGAATAGTATTTTGGATATAGTTCTGCTGCAAGGAAGAGATACATTTCACTATTTGTTCCCTTTAGTGGCTGGTCTATATAATTCTATTGACTACAATATAAAAACCTAGTAAAAATGTGAAAAGCACATCAGAATGTACATTAAAGCCCAACTGACCCTTTAGTTTAAATCCGCTAAATAACTTCCCGCTGCATCAAAGCAAAAGGTATGCAAAGTCTTGCTGTTTGCAAAGTGTGTGTTTATAAAGTAGTCACTGCTCCAAGCTCCCTCTCATGTTTAGTTTACTAACTTGTAATGAGATTGTAGTCTATCACAGGAGTGAGCTCGGAGCAGTGACTACTCTACAACACACACAGGGACCATGAGGAACAAAAGTAGCCCCCCTCCAGAAGGAAGGACAGTGTCAGCGCCAATTCAGAGATGATTGGAAGATCTACAGCCGAGTGATACACAAATAAGATACATTGCTGTTAATAAAGTACTTGAATGTATGTTTAAAAATTAACCCCGGAGCTTAGTGTCACTTTTATAATATGGATCTATGGATGTGTTAACATTCCCTTAATATTAAACGCTCACGCTTTATTGAATAATGTATCCAGATCAAACCAATATACATTTCCCAGCAAAGCATTTCTTTAAATTTCTGCCCAGTTACTTAGTCCTCCAAGTTTCCAAACACCTGGTTCCAGTTCCTTCAGCTCTGCTTACATGGAACAAAGCAGTCTACAGCAGCAGTCCATCTATTAGCTTGGATAAGGAAAGAGGGAAACAGGCAGCAGGGGAGTGGTTTGCCTTGCAGTGTCTGTGTTTGCGTGTTTGTGGAGACAGACAAGCAAGGGTGGCTCCATAGGACCCTGCAAGGGAAAGGAGCCACTCTAATACAGGGGACCAGCTGATTCTGCAAAAAAACGTTTAAACATCAAGGAGCAACGTCCTTTTGTAAGTGATTTAATCAGCATTTGAAACTTGACTTTAAACATCAGGGGTAGTTTATTTTACGTATGGCAAAAATAATATCCAGCTCTACGTTTTTCTGTACTGTAAATACGGAGGATTCAGGAACCTAACATATATGATAAGAAGGCACCACATCCAGCCACTGCCCATGTGAAAGCTTCTTTCAGTATTGGCTCATTTTCTTATCTAATGCTTTCATCGTGCTTTAAATTTGCAGAGGACTTTGGAAAAGCTGAGAGCAAGCAAGATGAAGTAGCAGGGGAACCGCGGAAGACTCCAGACCCCTCAGTCTGCTTAGAACTGGAAGCTCTGGAACGGAGTTCCCTGCATATTCCTTGGCATGTGTTAGAATATTTCTTGGCATCCAAGTGCATGTTTATGTGCTGGCATGTATCGGACTCTGACATCGTACAGCACTCTCCTATACTGTTCCCTCTTTTGTGATGGCCACGTGTACGCGGCGGTATGAAGCTGGTCATTTACAGAAGATTGTACACTGCTAGTCCTCTTCACTGGTGAGGGCAGACATTATGGAAGTTGGACCAGTGCTTGGGAATGGTATTATCTAAGACCCATAGCCTCAGTGAGGCTTTATTCTCTTACATCTTCTCTTGGTGTGTAGTAATAGGTAGAATGTTTTATAAAAAGGAATCTGGAGACAAACTTTTAAAAACTTTTATTATAATTAAAAACCTGGAGTTAAAGTTCCATTAGTTGGAAGGAGGCGGCCACCATCGCTGGGAAGAGGCTGCTTGTGCATTTTTCGATCCCTGTGTGGACCTCCAGCCTATTGGGTTAGCTGGGCTTGTCACTAGCAGCATGCAGGCATTACCCAAACCCCCCCCAAGCCCAAATCCAATGATCTTCACCGTCCAAACGCCTTCTCTGTGAAAGCATTGCTGGATCAGGGCAGAAGGTAAGTAAAAAGAAAAAACAGGTTGGCAGCACTCCGGGGTGGGGGGGGGGGGTTGAATTAACAAGTTAAAAAAAGGACAGCTGTACTTTATATAAGAAGATTATACATGACATTTAACACCAAACAAAAGGATTGGCCCTCAAGGCCATAAATGACAAGTCAGTGTGAGCGCATCCTAAGCACTTTTAAAAAGTATGCTGTGATCTTAAAGCCTTACCTGTAGGCTGGTTGTAGCTTGTAACGTGGTCATGAGATTAGACATCAGGCACCCAACAGGCCAATAGTGACCAGACCTATCGGGTTTGCACTGCGACCTGCCGTCCATGCCTCCATATTGGCCGCTAGATGTGATAGGTGAGCTTACAAGTCAGGGAAGGGGTGCGATGAGGGGGGCTTATGTCCACCACAGGGTCTGGTCATTGATTGCATATTAGGGCTTCCTGGCTTTTGGCTGGTCCTGGAATTAAAGCTAACCTGGTGGAACCTGGATGTGCCGGCTGTGTAATTCCAAGGTTAAGTTATTGGCTATAACAGGAGCGCAGGTTTGCTTTAAAGAGAAAGTTCAAGTAGAACTAATTTTCTTATAAGTAGGGAGTAATTGATGCCAGGCTGAGTGTAAAGTATTGCTGACCTTGAAGGCCTTTTCACATTTAAGCATTGTAGGTAACATAAATCGAGGTGCAGTGCACTGGGGTGTTAACAAAAATGGCACCCAAAGCTTTATTACTGTAGCAGGTAACGCACCTGCACTGCTTTTACCCCGCACGCCTTAGTAATGGTAATGCACTTCGGTAACAACACAAGCTGTTTTAGATTATGGGGTCCTCCAGTGATGACTGTAATCACTGATTCTGCCAGCAGAAGGTGTCAGCCATACTGGCTTCAATAGGGGGAGTCTTCCAAGACACTGATGAGAACAGAAGTAGCTGTGAGGTGAGGCAAATACTTAGAACAGGGGTAGCCAAACTCTGGCCCTCCAGCTGTGGTGATACTACAAATCCCATGAGACATCTGCCTCCGGGAGTCATGTCTGTGAGAATCTTGCCATGCCTCATGGGATTTGTAGTCCCCCCCCCCCCCCCCCCCCTTTCCAAATCAAACCCATTACCCATCATACAGAACACAATGAGGGGAATGGATCAAAATCTGGAGCAGATGTGCATGGCAACCAATCAGCTTCTCTCTTTCGTTTTAAAATCTTAACTGAAGAAAGATGCTGATTGGTTGCCATGCACAGCTGCTCCAGATTTGATACATTTTTAGGTGAACATCCCCCTTTTTTGCAATTGTAATGTTTTTTGTCGGTTTAATACTTTGCTGCACACTATTTTCTCAGCCCCTAATACTGTGCTTGTGGATTGCTAATATATATTTGTTTTCTATTTAAATAATGAAGTTATTTAATATATTGATTTTTGAAAATGCTGTCACTGTAATTTTATTGCTATTTAACATTTTTTTAAATTGTTTTAATAAACTGATTTCCTAGATTTGTTGTGTGTGTTGGTGTTTGAGTTGTGGCTATGATGGGGAACTGAAATGGTTTTAGGCCGTGTTCACACTGTTGCTGCAGCAATGTGCAAAAGCACTTGATTGTGCATTGTGGCACTATATATTCCTTAATGTACCCTTATGCACCTTACCGAGGCAGCTGCGTTACGATGCACCATAACACACTGTGACTTACCACAGTGTGTTACAAAAAAAATAGCACATGCACTTTCTTTGGTGCGTAGTGCTGCCCCTTTAAAATGAATGGGGTTCCCTAATGCAGGGGTAGCCAAACTCCGGCCTCCAGCTGTGGTGGAACTACAAATCCCATGATGCCTCTCTCTCCTGGAGTTGTGGCTGTGAGAATCTTGCAGTGCCTCATGGGATTTGTAGTTCCACCACAGCTGGAAGGCCGGAGTTTGGCTACCCCTCGTCTAATGCAATGCATTGTACACTGCCTAGCCAAAAAAAAAGTTGCTACCTGGATTATAGGCAGTGTTATGATCTGCGGTTGCTTTAGTTGGACATGTCGGTTCAGCAATGTTATGTCCCCCAAAACTGAGGTCAGCTGCCTACCTGAATATACTGAATGACCAGGTTTTTCCATCAATGTATTTTTTCTTCCCTGATGGCACAGTGGGCATATTCCAATATGACAATGCCAGGATTCATCGGGCTCAGGAAGCATGAGACCTCGTTGTCACACATGGATTGGCCACCACAGAGTCCAGACCTTAACCCCATTGAGAATCTTTGGGGTGTGCTGGAGAAGACTTTACGCAGAGGTCCGACTCTCCCATCATCACTACAAGATCTTGGTGAAAAATTAATGCAACTCTGGACAGAAATAAATGTGACATTGTAGAAGCTTATCGAAACAATGCCACGGTGAATGTGTGCCGTAATCAAAGCTAAAGGCGTTCCAATAAAATATTAGAGTGTGACTTTTTTTGTGAGGAATTGTATTTCTTTATTTTATTTTTAGGTTTGTTCCTTTTAACAGTTTAACTTCATCCTTATCTTGATAGACTGTGAGAGATATTAAAGTTAAAGGAGAACTATGGTATTTAAGGCTTTTCCCCATAGTTCTCCTTAGGATAACGGGAGGACACAAACTAGCGTCCTCCCGTCACCCTAGGCTCAGTATACCGCGAGCTGTAGCTCGCGGTATACTGAGACGCCGCAGCTGAAGCGGATCCCGACAATTGTGCCGGGATCCGCCCAGCTGCGTGACTGAACGCTGGCTCTGCCTATCTAGAGGCAGAGCCAGCTGTACCCGCTCCTTCCCCCGTCCGTTCCGCCAGTCAGCGCTGGCGGAGCGGGGAGGGGGGAATTCAGCCCTCCCCCTCTCAGGGCAGAGAGCGTGACAGGATCGAGAGGTGAGCGAACGCCGATGTGTGTTCGCTCACCTCCCGATCTACTGAGCCGACCTGTGACAGTCTCATTGTCACAGGTCGGCTAGAACTATGAGGTGAGTGAAAAGCACTCACCTCATAGTTCTCCTTTTAAGTAGTAGATATTTAATATGGAGAGATGTATAATACATTTTATGTATAGACAGTATTATGTTGTAGTATCTCTAATTTTGAAGAATTGTATACACGTGTTTATTGAAAATAATAAAAATATATTAAACCAAAAAAAAGAGACTGTAGTCAGCAATGAAAATAAACAGTTGATATGATTCCAGTGTACCCGGCCTACCTACTAAGAGCGTCAGTCTTTCATCTAGGCAAAGATTTTAGCGCACTGGGTCACCCTTGTCTGGTAATAATTTAATGATCTGGGAACACTGCTGGTCTATCAAAGTTTGTGACTGCGTTAGAATGTATGACCGGTGACGTGCTCACACATTTTATCGTAATCCCGCCCAACTTTTCGGCGGTGGAATATGTGACCGGCAAAAGATGAAGAATTCTAACTGTTTCAGGGCAGATCGGCATCGCAGATGGTATGTACAGAAGAACCGATCTGCCCTGGAACAGGTGATCGGTCCTGAAATGTCACTTCTATCCGACTGTGGAATGTGAGATGGCACTCACAAAGGCACATTTCAGGACCGATAAGTTGTTCCATGGCAGGGCGTTGGAATTCTTCACCTTTCGCCAGTTACACATTCCACCGCCGAAAATGAGGGGACCTGAGCATGTAAAACCCGGGGACTTATTAATGAGGGACACATGGTGATAGGGCGACCCATATGAATGGGGCAAATGGGGATGAGAAGGGACACAAATGAATGACATGCAGGTTAAGGGGGGGAACGACGACTGATGAATGTGACACAGGAAGAGACAAGCTGATAATTAAAACTTACAGGCTGATGTGAGGACACTTGTGTATATGACATGGGGGTTTGGGAAGGGGGTATAATAGACTTGTGCGTCGTCAAAAAAAATTTGTTCAGTTTTGGAATATCCGTTACTTCGTATTTCGTGTCCGAAACTCAATTTGGATTCGTACGAAATACGAATTTTCGTTAGTTTTGGCACATTTTCGTAACTGTACGAACATTCGTTATGATGAAGTTAAAAAGCAAAAATACCTTTTGTTAATATTGGAGTCGATGTGGTAGTTGTTTTTTTTTTTTTAATCCAAAATACGAATTCAGTTAACGGATTCCGGATCCAAATTTTGGATTTCGGATTAAAAAAAAACTACCATCAACTCCAATATAAATGTACTTTGCTTTTTAACTTCAATATAACGAATGTTTGTAACCGAACGAAAATACGTCAACGGAATTTTGTATTTCCTGCCTGTGTATTTTAATGCAACCCTCAGCAGCAGAAGAGGAAACCTCTGATTGGTCAACCTCATTTACAGGGGTAATATTAGTTCCTGTTTCAAAGAAATTTGAATCCGAAATTCGTTAATGGAGTTTCGTAT